CCCGGATACACATATATGCACTTTTCTTTTTTCACCTAATTGCAGTCACTATCAAGTCTCTCTTGTGGTGGAATTAACATATTACTGTTCCTACATTGTGATGACCCACTGGCAGAGGCAGATGCAGATACATAAAATAAGAATACTGTTGACAGACTGACAATAACAGAAATAAAAGCAATCACTGTGAAAAATCAGAATTGAGGAGTAATGTATATGTAATGAAGTTTCTTTATGATGTGTTGGTTTGTCTAAACTGGTCTTCTGAACTGCAGGTACTCTGACACAGAATGAAATGATCTTCAAGAGGCTGCACCTGGGAACAGTGTCTTATGGCACTGACACCATGGATGAGATACAGAGCCACATAATCCAGTCATATGCACAGGTAAGATTCAACGGGGATGCAACTTATTGTTTTCACCATCTATTAATCTGCCAATGAATTTCTCAATGAATTAGATTTTTATAAATAAAATAATAAAAAAAAAAACATTGCTGTTCCCCACATTCCAAGGTGAAGTCTCCAAATGTCTTGTTTTGTCTCGACCAATGATCCAAAACCCAAGAGGATATTTAGTTTACGGTGATACGAAGCAGAGAAAAGCTGTAAATCCACAAACCTGAGAGGCTAGAACCAGAAAATGATTGATGATGATCAGTTTTTTGTTTTTCGTGGACAAACAGGTTCATTGGTTAAATAAATATCTGCTGATTGTAATATATATGCTCGGTTGCCAGTTTATTAGGTACACTTCGCTAAAACCTTTGTTCAGCATTATGATAATTTTGGAGGCTATAGTCTCTGCTGCTGTTGAATTGTTTATCCTTATACTGAGAGGTGTTTCTAATATTTTGTCCACCACATTTAAATGAATGATGGTAGACTAAACAACAAACACTTCTCTGCCAGATTACAGTGACAGCCAAGTCACATAAAAAACATTTTGAAATAAATGTCAGTCCTGCAGCCCACTTAGCTTCTTCATTTTCAATTGTCTTATGTTGACTGTCAATTTTCACTTTTTCATAATTAATTTTTTCCTTGATTTTTAGTTATAGCAACATTATGTAAGAATTGTGGTTTTTTTGGGGGGGTTTTTTGGCAACTTTGGCACCCTACAGTTTTTGGAGTGCAGTTCACCCTCATGAACAGATGAGCTGAAGGATTTGGATTTGGTGGGCTGACTTGGCTTGTGATCAAAAATGAGTCAACAATTTTACTAACCCAGCCAGATATTAAGGAATGGCAACAACACAAGACATAGCAAGCCAGCTAATATTACTTACTAGTCCAGCAGTAAGAAGGCCAGCTTGCTGTCTGTGATCTTTTACGATGCTCTCACCAACGACTAAAAGCCCGTCCGAGGTCCCTTTGTGTTTTATGTTGTTTTAAATTGTAATTTGGGTGTGGCTTTATTTTCTCTTTGTTATAGCCTTTAACAAAACAGTTCCCATCATATAATATAGAATATAGATCTTCCAGTGTGTAACATTAGACAGAACCAACCATTTACAATATTACAATTTGTTTCCAATACGGGAGTGGGTGCAATGTAGTATAACTATGTACCATATTCATGTTTTCCCTGCTTATTCCCGCTCCTCCCTGTAGATCAGTTTAATCAATTTTTTATATTTAGCTAAGGATAAGTTTTCCAGGAAAAAAGCCCATATTGTTCATTCATCATGGAGTGTCCCTGAGCGACTCCTCATACTGTAAGCAAGTGTTTTCCTCGCTGGGTGGCTCAGATCTGGCTGCAGCCTTGACAGAATGATATTGTTCATTCTCAGCCAGCTCCAAACAGCTGGTCGACACTGAAACCATCTGCCCCACACCCTTATGTGTAATCTCAGCTAATGAAAAACGACTTTTCTTTTTAGAGCCGCACAGCCCAATCTGGGCAGAGCGGCAGTGTGTCTGTCCAGCTGATTTTTCCTATGTTGCTGTTTTCCTTACTGTCACAGTGACATCATTACAAAACCCTGTTATTGTTTTAGGGGTTCCAGTTAAAGGCAGCAGTTAACAATTACTGTAATTTTCAATGGCAATTTAATATACTGTTTGACATACTTATCATAATTTACCAGAGCTCAGTTGTCTCTCTTTTTATAAAATAATAAAACATTGGTTTCTAGTCTTCTGGGGACTTCTACACAGACACAATAACTCTGCTTTAACACCCTCTACATGTACCTCAGACACTAAACTTGCTTGACATCACATTTAAAATGATCTCTCCATCGATGTTTCAGTCACTCATGATGAAGGTTGTCATCTTGCGTCCTTACTGTACTCCCCATGGCCCCTCCTTTCCGGCCTGGCAGGATTGAAGGTTAATAATAAGCCAAAATCAAATGCTTCAGTAGAGCGCATCGCCCCTGTCAAAGGCAGCTGGCACAGTGGGCTGTCTGCCTGCTCGCTAGTCACCACCCAGTTAAACTGATGGTTGATGTCAAAACAGCGGAGCACACAAAAGACCCTCAAACCAGATATGACATGATAAAGATGGTGATACACCACTTTCCCTCGCTGTGTCATTTAGCTTGAAAAGGGGTGTCAGAGTGAATTGGCTGCAAGTGTAGGAATAGATCTAAATGTCTACCAGTGTTGTTACATTTTAAATACGATTGCTGTGTCTGGAAAAGATTATGTAATATATTTCATATGCAGTTTTTAATGTCTTTTAGGTCGTTATCATCTTATTTAGTTTGGTTTGTAGCAGTTTCTCTACATACCTATAAATTAGCCATGAAAATTAGCCATTAGTCAACAATAAAATTTAATTTGTTGCTTGCAAATTTTGGTACAAAACCCTCAATATTGATTGGTTATGATAGCGTGCTAAATATAAATGATTAAAACATAATTCTGTCCATTTGGGTAATCTAAGGTCAACTACATTCAGTTCATACATGCCATAAATAGATGCGACTGGAATGGAAAGATTTCTTTAATTCACAGATTATTTATTGACTGCATGGCTCACAGTATGTATTGTGATCTCAGGCAACCTCCCAGCCTTCCAATGGTGGCACCAGTGGCGCCACTCCATCACGGAAGACCCAGACGTCGGCCCCGAAAGTCCGCAAGAGCGTCAACAGTCGCATCCACGAGGCTGTGAAGGCAATCGCCTTGTGCCACAATGTCACACCTGTCTATGAGTCACATACCACGGTAAATGGAGAGACGGAGTCTGCTGAAGCTGACCAGGACTTCAGTGATGACAACCGCACATACCAGGCATCCAGCCCCGATGAGGTAAATATGAGCTGCAGGGAAGAGTTTGGGCACTTCCAGCTTGCAACAGTTTAAAAAGTGGTATTGTTGGTTTAAACTAAGAGAGGGTGACTAATAATGTAATGTTTGTTTTACACGGTGCTCATCTCTAGGGTTTCTTTTCTTATACACCGATCAGCCATAACATTATCACCGTTGACAGGTGGACATTTTGTCCTCAAAGTTGTTGATGTCAGAAGCAGGAAAAAACAGGCAGCGTGAGGATTTGAGCGACTTTGACAAGGAGCCACATTGTGACGGCTAGACGACTGGGCCAGAGCAGCTCCAAACCTGCAGCTCTTGTGGGTTGTTCCTGGTCTGCAGAGGTCAGTATCAAAAGTGCTCCAAGGAAGGAAAAACAGTGAATCGGTGACAGGGTCATGGGATGCCATTCATGAGGATGTTACTTTGATATGCACCACCTGCCTAAGCATTGTTGCTGACCATGCACACTCTTTCATGGAAACAGTATTCCCTGATGGCAGTGGCCTCGTTCAGCAGCATAATGCCACAAAGCAAATGGTTCAGGAATGGTTTTGAGTAGCATTACAACAAGTTCAAGCTGTTGACTTAGCCTGCAAATTCCCCAGATCTCAATCCAATTGAGCATCTGGGGGATGTGCTGGACAAAGAAGTCCGATCTATGAAGGCTCCACCTCACAACTTACAGGACTTAAAGATATTATGCAGGTGGTGATAATGTTATGGTTGATCGGTGTGATCTATTTATATCTTTGTCTCTTTCTGCACTTTCAGTTGTCAATCTGGTTGAACCATTGTACAGCATTTTGTTCTCCATGTATACTACTTTTGTAAACCCTTCATACAAACTAAAAGCATTTAAGACTAAAAAGATAAAAAATATAGAGTAGTCTTCTCAGCCATCTGACTGTACCAAATTTTCATGGCAGGTGACAGTAGTGTACATTTGTTTTCAACTTAATGACCAAAAACAGGATGAAAACACTTTCTTGAGTAAGTGAAACATAAACAAACCTCCAGTTTGGTTGAAGCGCTGCTTCAAATTTTCAATGTTGGCTTTGTGGCGCTGTTGGTGACCCAGACAGGTCTGAGTCTCCCTCTCCCAGTACTGAGGATCATCTGCTGTGACTCTGCTCATCCAGTCCTGTTTGGGT